TGTAGAAAGGGTGTCCAGTTTCAGGTTCCTGGGTATGCACATAGACACAGACATCTAATGGAGCTCAAACACCTCGACGGTTGTAAAGAAGGCCCAACAGCGTCTCCATTTTGTGAGAATCCTCAGAAAAATGGACTTGAAGAGGGAGCTGCTGATCGTCTTCTACTGTTGCTCAAGTTAAAGTGTGCTGAGATACTGCATCTCTGTATAATTCTTCAGCTGCACCAGGGCACACAAAAAGGCTTCAGAGGGTCATTAATATGGCCCAAAAAATCATTGGACATCCTCTTCCCTCCCTGAAGGACCCGTACAGCACTCGCTGTCTCAAGAGGGCACGCAGCATCCTACGGGATTTCACACACCCAGGACACCGGGTGTTTAAGCTGCTGCCGTCTGGCAGGAGATTTAGCTTGCTGAGGTCACAAACAAACACACTCAAGGACGGCTTTTACAACAATCAATGCTAACAGCTGACCTGAATGGCTACCTCCCTTGACTTTTTTGGTGTGCAATAAAAATAATATACAATAAGCATTCACTTATTCTTTTATTTATTAAGTCATTCATTTTTTTGCTCATACCTTTCTTGCACTTTAAAAACACTTTAAAGTTACTGTGTTGTGTTGTATTGTGCTTGGTGCCGGCGTGGCACCAATTTCGTTGTACTATTGTACTAGGTATGACTGTGTAATGACAATAAAGAGTTATCTATCTCATCTATCTAATTTGGCTGACTGAAAAGGATTGGCAATAAATAGCATACACATGTAAATAATTGATTTTATAATCAGAGCTCTGTTAGCTGCTAACTCATCAGCATTAGGACGAGTCACACTGTAAAATCCATTCAAAGCAGCCCACCGATGTGATTCAGTGTGAAGCTTTTATTTAGACTATTAAAACATTACCTCGCATGTCCATAAGCAAGAATGCTACCATTAAGAGGGTTGCATCTTGGCTGCAATTCAGCTATACTGTTATTACCATATTAACAAACTTAAGGCAAGTTGATTTTCTTTTATTTTAATTCCAAGGAGCCAGGCTGTTGTAATTTTTTAAGTGGTCTTGAGGAATAGTTTTCCAAGCTTTCTCAAGGCATTTTAAACTTTAACAGTGGACACTGACTACGTTTGCACTCATTTTCAGTCCAGTCCTTTCACCTGACCAATTACAGAGTTTTTTTTCTGTTAAGCCACTGACCACCAACCTCTGACTTATTCAATCATTAAAAGGCTTTTAAGTCAACTGAATAACCGGTATTGTGTCTACGCATAACAGACAACTTAGCAAAGAGCCAAATTTTCTTACCAGCAGCAAAACACTCCATGTCTCCACTTCTTTACTTGTATATCCAAAAATTTCCAAAGATAACACAGTTAGCAGGCATAAAATAGCTATTTTAGACCAACGAGGTGATTCCCAAAGAGCCAAAAACTTGACGTAGCTTGTCTTAAAAAAGGAAACTGGACAAGTGGTGAACAAAAGAAGAAGTGGCAGATCTAAAAAAGATCTGAAAGTCATCTAATTAAGAAATTGGAAAAATCCTGTAGAGATCAAACACAGGACCCGAGAGATGCATCTGACCCTTCTCTCCATCTACTGCTCACTGAACCCGCATCAAAATGGTTTTAGTGGAAGGCTGGCTGTCAACAAGCCATTCTTAAAGAAGGGGATGAAAATGACAAAAACTGGACTAAAAATTGGTGGCAAGATGTTTTATGAAATGATGAATCCAAATGTTAAATTTCTGGTTTATATCATGGTCAGTTTACATTGCGGTACAACAGTGATGTGTCTACAGCCATCTGTGTAACACAGCGGAGGCTCTGTCATGGTTTGGGGCTGGATTTCAACCAGTGGTGTCAGAGATCTTCTCAAAATTGATCAATTTTGAATGTAGAAAACTAGAGTCAGATTTCGACTCTTCATGCAATACCACTGGGAAAGCATCCGGTGCATTTATCAGCAGTGATCTGAAGCACACTGCCAATGAAGAACAAACAGCAGAACATTATCAGTCATAGATTGGCCTCCCCAAGTCTGATTATTACTGAAGCAGTGTGGGATCATCTTGACAGAGAGCAAAACAAAAGTCAGCCAACATCCAAATAAGAGCTTTGAATATCCTTCAAGAAGCCTGGAGAACTATTCCTGAAGACAACTTAAACAAATGACAAGAAGACTTGTCTAAGAGAGTTTAGGCTGCATTGAAAAATTAAAGGTGGTCATACCAAATATCGACTTTCAAGCTTGTTAGAATTGTACAAATTATGTTTTTGCTTTATAGGCCATGTATTTTTTTTTACATCCATTTCTAGCCTGCTGTTATTTAGGATGTTTTTCCAGTTAACAAATTAAGTGTGCTTCTGACAACTAATCTTAATCTTTAAAAAGGTCACATACAATAATGTGTAGCAGTTTAATTACTGTTTTCTCCATAGCTACATATTGGTAATTAATATCAGTATTTGCTGATTCTTTGTTTGCTAATAAATATCTAGAAGATCCCAAACTAATTAACTTAATGGCCCAGAAGGCAGATCTACCACAGAGATATCATGTGGGGGCCGATGTTATTGGTTCCTCTTTGAAACGACTTCCTCGATGTGAAAGACACTTGTTCCAGCATCCATCACTTCAAGGTGATTATCTCCAAAACCATCCGTCCCTGAGAGGAAAAGCTGCTTTAGTGCTAGAGAACAACAACAGGAGATCAACTGGCAGTTTTTTTTCCCTCCAGTCTTGAAGTATTATTAGTCAGACACTTGGCTTCAGTCCAACAACGTAGCAGTGCTCTGGCTTCACCTCACTGAGTGATGGAGAGAGTATTCGTGCTTCGTGAGCAGTTTAAATGCCGAGCTATAGAGAAAGCAGCCCCTGCACACGACCAACAAATCTACATGTTAATCTTTAAAATCCTTTAAAAAAATAAAAAGAAATGACTGACTGACTGTAGGTCTGCTTTAATAAACATAGACACTTTGAAGTCTTAAAGGAATATGTATGAGTCACATCCCTCCTGCTTCATGCAAATAGTGTATGAAGCTTAACAATTCATCCTATTTTGTGCTCCGCTATTGGTTTTTAGAAGAAAGATACCCATAAATCTGACTTTAATTCAGACTTTTGAGAGCTTCCCATCAGCATTGTTTCCTGCTTTAATCTGCACACATCTGTATAATTTATTCTACGGCACCCTACAGATGGGCAGGGACTTTTCATGACAGGAGGCCTTCTTGATCAAAACTGCTTTTGTCTGAACTTCAGAACTGCTCCCTTTGATCAATGCACAGCTAACAGAAGGCAGCAGGAAGCTCAGGCTTCAAGCTTGAAAAATATTTATTTTTTCTCATTTCTCTAGTTTGTATAAATCTAGAGCAAGGATTAAACCAGAGATGGCAACACACAGCCATGTGTAACAGATGAGAGAAGAAAGCCTTCCCTTACCCTAGACCTGTATATTATTTCAGAGCTATGAAGCTCGGGAAAGAAAGGTGTTTCGATCGGGGACTGATTAGAGCTTTTTTTAACAATGGTGTATTATAACCTCCAAGACTTTTGGATAAACTGCTTTTTAAGCCTTCTTAACAATGAAAACAGTGAACAGACATGCCATTCATTTACATTATATACAGTCTTTGTATACTCTATAAACTTGACTGGTAAACAGAGTCACCCCAGGTTCTTAAGTCTGCCTACTCACACTTTCAGTGTTAATATAAAAGGCTGATAAAAATATTGAGCCTGAGTTTATCATCTCCATCTTCATCATCTGAATCTTAATATTTCACCAGCATCTGAATTTTTAATCTCACATTTCTAAGCTCATTTAAACCTATTTCGTTTAACCAAAAAACAATGCATAAATCAAACACAGATCATTTAGACCCACCCATAATTTAGAGCTTTTAGTACGCACTTTAATTTTCTCTGATCTCTCACATTTTATGTGCGTCCCTCAGTCCCGCTTAGCCCATCTTCAGCTCATCCAGAATTGCAGCTGCTCACAAAAAACATGGCCACCACCCTTCTTATCCTGGCTTCTCTTTCACTGACATCCAGTGAAATTTGTGAATTCATTTCAAAGTGTTACTAATTTCATATAAAGCCTTTATAGCCTTGTATGGCCAGGCTCCAGGCTCCGGTCATCTGAGCAGAGTCTTTATACTGACCCAAGCTCTAATTTGAAATCTTTTTGACTTTATTGTAAACTCTTTTGAGGTTGTAGTACATCACTTTAGAACAGCCCCCTCAGCTTATCAGGTAAGCTGAATAAGTGGGTGTGTTTTAAATAACTACTGAGAACTAATTTCTGTGGTTTCATATGTTTCTCTAATCTTTCATCCAGTATTTTTGTGATATAACTCACTGAATGGATGCACAGAACTATGCGTTTATGAAAAAACACAATTAAAAGATTGTGTGTGCCTATGTGTTTGCATGATAGGTTGTGTATACTTATCTTTAATGTGGTTTTTTTTTTATTGTGAAGAGCTCTGCAACAATGTGTTAAGAAATGCCGTACAACAATAACAAAATAAAATCATTATTTATAGTATAATAATGTTTGATTGGAGCAGAATTTAACCAAAGAAACAGACTTTATGGAATTATTCAGCATGCCTTCATTTGAGGAGAAGTTGCACAGGATTTTAGAAATCAGAAACGCTGATGGCCAAAGGCTATTACTAGCTGGGGTGTGATCATTATGCTGAACTTCTGCTTTTAGTGAATGTTCTGTTAGACGTGACCAGGTTTTAGCAGACATGCAAAAACTGAACTACAGAATTTTACAAATGCACTTGTGGATGGTTCAAACATTAAGCACACAGTTTCACGCAAAACCAGCTTCCTTGCGATTTAAGAAGGCCAGTTGCTTAAAAACCACCCTCCATCCTTTAGTCACAAAGTTTCAGGTACACTAGGAATAAAGTAGTCCCCCCCTCCCCCAAGCTTCCACAGTAAACGCATGCATGATTAAAATAAGCTCGGTCTCTTGCCTTTCTCAGCACTTTCAGCACTTCGGCCGCTTGCTCCATCTTCTGCTCCCGGAGAAGCCTCTGGATTTCCCGGACCCAAGCCACCCGCCTGACATATGGGCTGTGGTTGGTTTTCCGCAGCATCCCTGGAAGCTTGTCGGACTTGAGCATCAGGGAGGTAAACAAGAAGTCTCCGCTCCTGCCGCCACTCCTCTCGCTCTCTCCAGGAATATCATTCCTCTGGCGTCTCCTTTTTGACAATTTGCTATCAAAATCGAGACTTCTCTGTCTGGTCAACTTAGAGCCCATCACCCCTGGGAGGATGTGTCACTGTTGGTGCGTAGAGCGAATTTTCAGCGTGCAGCCAAAACATCACACTTAACTTGAAATGTGAGGAGATGCATAAAATAGTGCCTCAAAGTTTGAAGGCTACTAACCAACCGCACAGCATCGCCACCGTAAATGTGCGGCTGGTTTCGCCGCCGTCTTCTCTCAGTCTGCATCTGTCCATGCACTGCCTAAGCACTCTGGCATCCCTCGCTTTACTCGGGGATGGTGTTTCTTCTCAGCCAATCAGATCGGTACTCGCTGCACAGCTTGAGAGTGCAGGAAAACACTCAGCTGAGTTTTCTTGCATAGCTATTAGAGTTGGCTAAAGCTGAACTACAATCTGAAACTGGGTGTGAATAAAGTGAATAAAAATAAAAGCATTCAGAAAATATGTTTAGTTTGAGTTTTTGTCAGTTTGGTGAAATTTGTTATCACAACATGATGCTTTGATGCGTCTGTTTATTGAGATTTTGGGCGTCTGTATGGGTCACCTGCCTTCAGTGGTATTTACACTCACTGGCCACTTTGTTAGGTACATATTCAACTTATTAAAGTAAATATACAATCACGACCTGTTAATGTTTAAAGTAGGCATCGGAGTGGGCCAGAAATGTGACCTACATGACTTGACTGAACGTGTCATGGCTGTTGGTGTCAGTCAGACTGTCATACTGGGATTTTCCCACTCACTCATCTCTAGGGTTTACAGAGAATGGTCTGAAAACGTGATCAGACGTTTTGTGGGTGAAAATGCCTTGCTGATGTCAGAGGTCAGAGGAAAATTGTCACACTGCTTTGAGCTGATAGGAAAGCAACAGTAAGTCAAATAAATACTCATTGTGACGAAGGTACGCAAAAGTGCATCTCTAAATGCACACTGGATCTTGTAGCAGATGGGCTAAAACAGCAGAAGACCACACTGAGCAGCACTTCTATCAGCTAAAAACAGTAAAATAAATGTCATAATCTGCACAGGTTCACCAAAATTGGACAACAGGAGGTTGGAAAAATGTTGCCTGGTCTGATGGGCATTTGATTTGACATTACAATAGTAGGAATCAGACTTTGAAAAAAAAGCATGGATCTATCTGGGCTAGTGCCAGCAGTTTAGGCTGCTGGTGGTGTAACAGTGTGGGGATTTTTTCTTGGCATTTTTTAGGCCCCTTAGAACCAACTGAGCATCGTTTAAATGCCACAGTCTGCCTGAGTATTGCTGCTGACCATGTCTCTTTATGACCACAGTGTACCCATCTTCTGATGGGTGCTTTCAGCGGGGTGATGCACCACATCACAAATCTTGGATTATCTGAGATTGGTTTCTGAAATATCTTCTGAATGTCCTCTACAGTCACACGATTTCAGTCCAATAGAGCACCTTTGGGATGTGGTGGAACAGGAGACTCACATCATGGACGTGGAGCTGATAAATCTGCAGCAACTGTGTAATGCTGTCATGTTAACAAGTTTAACAAGCCTTGTAAGCCAAAGATGCTTGCATTTTTTCAGTCCTGTTATCAAAACTCAAAAAACATGTTTAAAACATGGACGAATTCCACTGACTTCCCAAGAAAAGTCAAGAAAGTCAAATAACTGATATTTGTGACCAAAAATCCTTATGTACACACAGAAACTGTGTTTTTTAAAAGATCCAAAGGTACATTTATCAGTTCAAGTTGACACAAACCTCAAGTTCATCGTATTTATTAAGCAACATAATTGCAGAAACAAAGCAAAGTAACAGGATTGAACATGTCCCGAGAATGTGTGCATGTCAGTGTGTGTGTTAGCGTGTGTGAAAACAAACTTATGTAACCTTTTCTAAGAGTCCCTCTCTAGTTTGGACCTCTTTTTCAATTTCCATATAGCAGGCTGTGACTGGCTTCAGTGGTGGGATGACCTCAGTTTTGTTCATGCACCTCAACATGTGTATCTGTGTATCTGTGATGACACCTGGTTGGAGGTCACCACTACTTTACCACACACCATTCGCCAACAACTTCAGGACTTTGCCACAGAATATCTGTGGCTTTGGGTGCTATCTGTTAATGATTGAGTGTGAAATGCTTTGCACTCACAGATCAGAATTTAGTGTGCACAGGCACCCGCCGTCCCTACATGTCAGTTTTGCCTGGGCAATGGTCACTGCCTGATGTATCCTCATAGTGGATGGAATTGATGGCACATCTTTGGGCATCTCCTGAACTGCTTTCTCTACTGCATCATCGTTGGCAAAAAAAACAACCTGATTACCGTTTCTGTCTTTTGTAATGCAGCAAACAGTTCTGCAGCATTAGGAATGTCTGTCCCTTTGCTGACCAGACTGTCAGCCTTCCTCTTTAGGGCTCCTCCCACACCACCAAGTGCACCCTTTACAAGGATCGCCTCAAAGAAGTTCCATGTCCCAAATGTAGCGAATCCTTGTTTGAACAGTTCATGGGCCATCACTACAAAAATGGATTGTGGAGACCTTTGGATGTGCTCTCTGTCATGCACCGGTGACGAGTATTGTATTGTATTTAGGTGCAGTTGTGAAAGTGGAACTGGAGAACCCACCTGTGAGGCTGAGTGAGGCTAGAGGTAAAAAAATCCTTTTTCACTGACATGTAGTTTGAACAGCTGTGTTTGAATGTCAGGGAACAATGTCAGGGAACGTCAGCTCCTTAGATTACCATGACCTGGATGACTGAGAACCTACAGACATGTTCTCTTTCCTTGTATGGAAACCTAGTATAACCCTTGCCAAGCATCTAATTTAGAGGGGTTGTCCCCCCTTCATCTTGCATTTAATTCTGCCTTGACACCATCATTATGGCCTATGGCAGCAGGTAACAGCCACTTTCTCTAAACACAAGAGTAACAACAACACAGAAATTAGTTTATTAATCTAGACCTTTTTCTAAAACTGAGGTGGGTAATGAGAAAGCTTATAATTTCTGACTTACTGTAGCAGTACTGAACAGTCATGACTAATCTTATACAGATCCTTGAAGAGAGATGCAAATGGACTTTTAGAACGAAATCAAACTCTTTGTTTACTGTGAATCTCACCTTTCATCTGCCCTTGTGTCTCCAAACTGATGCAGAGCCTTTGGGATGCTGTGCTGCAGGATGTGTCGGCGCTCACAGGCGGAGGCCTACTCCAGGAGCAGCAGGTGTACGGAAAAAAAATCTATAATGATCTGCAGCTCCATCTCCTGGATTCCTCATTCTCTCTGTTCTGCTTGAGGGACACCACGGTTACCGCGTGGTTTATGAGATGTGGGCTAACATTTAAATTCAAGGAGAATCATTAGCGTGCTGCGAGAACACCTGTGGCTCACGTTGCTCACTGCTCTTTATGGTGGTGGAGTGAGGCATTCCTTTACCTTCCCAGCCACACTCATGCTTCTTAGCTGACGTGTCTCAGTGGTTCAAAATACCTGCATGCAACATAGGAACTGATTTACCAACCTGTGTTGCACCACCACCACATAGATGGTTTGGGGTCAGGCTTTGCCATGAGCTCCTTATATGCTTTCGTATGCCAGACTGTCATAAAATGCTGTGTGAGGCAAGGCAGGAAAGGACCCAGATGTAAGACTCTCAGGCAGAACTAAACTCCACAATAATTTAAAAATCCCCAAAAAAGAATGTAAAAAAAAAAAATCCCCAAACCTCCGACAAACTCAAAACTGACCATTGACACAGACATAGCTGCTTTTACAAGATAAAAATTACACACTACATGAATGAAGACTCCATATCGAGTCTTCATCCTGACAGGGCTGGGTAACAACTAATAAAATGTTATCTAAGTTACACAATCGGAAAAAATAATGAGTAACTACATTTAGATTGACAAGAGCTGCTTGATTAATCCCTGATTACGTGGTTAGATTCAGATTGATTCTGATTATGTTCCACTGTATATTGAAATTACTCCTTGAACTTTAATCATGCTAATAAAACCCAGGCAGGCCACAGGTTGAACAATGCAAACTCCATAACAGAAACTCCACAACCAGTCTGGTGGAACCTAACTAGAAAACTTGGAGTGCAATTTATATTTTAGAGTAATCTGACTCACCCACAGTTCTGCAATAACATCTTTTATTAAAGACACGATGAAACCAAACTTTAAAAAAAATCTGTCTGGCGGATGGCTGTCTGGCGGATGGCTGTCAGTTGGGTGGCGCCTGAGGAGAAATCTACATCTTCATTGTTCTTGTGAAAAGGAAAGAACAATATCCCATCTCTTCTATGTTTTGTTGCATTATGAAGGCACCATTTTTTCCTGCTGTTCTCTTTCGTCTGACATGGAGCAATGCACCTAACTCTGAATATTTAGTACAGTCTGAGGGTTACAGCTATGAAAACATCAAAGCTGTCTGTTGGTGATGTCACAGCAGGAGCAAAGTGATGGGGACAAATTAGTAAAGAAGAAGAAGACTATAATTGTTTTGTTTGGCAATTCAAAGGTCAAAGGTCTGTGTTCCTTAAATGCCTAAACTAGATTTTTGAGTGCTTTGATAGCTGGGGCTCCACAGATTCAAGATTCGTTATTTGTCACATGCGTAGTGATACAAGTACAACACACAGTCAAATGTGTCCTGAACTGCTCCTTTGACTGTGCAAGACATTATAAAAAAAGAAGTACATTTAAATTAAAATTAAATCTGGAAATTTTAAATTTAAATCTGAAAAAGTACAATGTGTGAACTTAATGTTAAAGTGCTTTGTGCCATATTAGCACAACAATGTATTGACAGAGCAATGAAAGCAGAGTAAACAAAGTGACCAGAGTAATGTAAACAGAGTATTTTAACAGGATAATTAAACAGAGTGACCAGAGTAATATAAATAGTAGTGAAGCAGTATGATCAGTGTAGCAGTGTGTGATGTAATAATAAATCAGATATGATATGAAACATGACAGTAAAAGTTCTGGATGTGACAAGAATATGATATAAGGTCCTGTTTCCGTCACTTTGGGTGATGTTATGAGGGAAGTGGGAGTGGGAGCTCCTCTTGAGTCTCTCTGTTTTTGCCCTGATAGTGTGGAAACTTCTGCCTGATTGCAGAAGTCGAAACAGTTCTTCACTGGGATGGGACGAGACCTGCAGCAGCGTTCTGTCGCACGGATCACTCTCTGAAGAGCTTTTCGGTCTTGAACACAGCTATTCTCACACCAGGATGTGATGTTCTGTGTGAGGATGCTCTCCACAGGGCCACATGGGACAAGGGATCCAGAATTTAAAACGCACATAGGGAAAATACAGCTAAATGACCAGAGCCATCCTGCAAACCATCTCTATCTGGCCTCTGATATCCTTAAAAACAAACCCCAGCATTAGGATGGAATGAAACATTATTTTAGTTGAGGTGAACAACTCTACATAATAACAGAACTACCTACAGGGAGCAGGTCAGGCCTCTCACAGGTTATTGCTATCACAATCATTTGGATTTAAACACTACAAAAACCAAGGAAATGATTGTGGACTTCAAGAAGTAGAGCAGGTAGATAGTTTTAGGTTCCTTGGTGTTCACATTTAGGCTGACCTCATTTGAACCACACAAAGATCTCCTGTCAGGTGGGGAAGGCCCAACCGAGGCTTTTGCTTCCTGAGGAAACTAAAACACGCTCACCTCCCTTGCTACCTGCTGAGCAGCTTCTGTCGTTCAACAGCAGAGAGCCTTCGGACCCTCTGCTGCGTGGTGTGGTTTGCCAGCTGCACAGCTGGTGAGGGCAGGTGGTGGTCAGCGCGCAGAGATGGGCAGTAACGCGTTACTTGTAACGCGTTACTGTAATCCGATTACTTTTTTCAAGTAACTTGACCAACACTGTCAGCGCGACACCCTGACTCCAGTGGAAAGCCAGGTGTATAATAATGGATCACACCCACCTGGACATCACTGATTCTTTGCCCTGCTCTCTAGGAAAAAGATTCAGATTAATCAAATTCAGCAGTTTAAATGAATCAGCCTCTTATCAGTAACAAGCACATTCTGTTTGATTCTATTCTATAATAAGTTGGAGCTGCTACATCACTCATTTCCACCTGTGTGTGTTTTCTGTGATGAGCTACACTGAAAGCTTACACAGAATTTAACCCAGTGAAGCCCGAACCATTAAATAATTACCATAAAATTCAATTCAAAAAACAAAAAACTGGAGTGCTTATTTAAGAAATCCACACAAATATACTAAATAAACATCCGAAATATAAATACATATATAAAAAATATATAAATTTGCACATATGAGTTTGTCATTTTATCATAAATTAAAAATCCTATCTTTTTAGCTACATCTGGCAATCATGCAGTTTATTGCTCACATAAAAACTGCAAAAACCCATGTATGTGGGTAGATTTTCTAACAAAAAAAATCCTTGGTTTTTAAACAAGGACGTATTTGAATGTAAAATCCATAGTTTAGCATAATTCAACACCAGGTGCATCATATTTTAATTCAGTTATTAGAAGTGTGGTTCTTTGCTAAAGTAAATATGTTCCTGGATTAATTCAAGTTTTGAGGTTCAAATCAGTCAAAAATAAGAATAGAATAGAATAATCCTTTAATTGTCCCACAAGGGGAAATTTGGTTGTAACAGCAGCCAAAAAGACACATATACAAACAAACAGTACACAGGACACAGAACAGAAACATACACAATTTTTCTTACATAAGAAGGTAATCCATCGTGTCCCTGCTGCTTTCGGCCTGAATGCTTACTTAACTGACCTTCCTCAGTCAGCTTTGCACTCGTTCACATGGTTCTCCTGCAGTTTGTTCACAGAGTTTGTTTCCTCGCCTCATGGCAGATCTTCTCCCTCGCAGCCGAGAAAGCCTTCACTTTTACGATGAGGAGGCACTTTATTTAAAAACGTAAATATTAAAGGTTTTGTGTGAAGTCATAGAAAGAAATAAAACTCAATGACATTCCTGCAGGCGCTGTGTTACTTAAGAGCAGGGAAACAGGTCCTGTGTTAACTATAAAACGTTTGGCATTTATTTAAAGTGAACCATCAGCAAACTGAGGCTGCTGCTGGTTAATCTTTTTCACAGATAAAGTATTACCACAGATAAAGAGCCTTTCATCTGGCGATTATTTCTTACTCTCAGCTCCAGGGTTGTGCAGTTGTCTGTGGATATTAGAAAGTTGCTTGAATACAGAAAACTAATTATTTGAAAGCAGCTAAGTTTTTTTTTTTTCATTTTCTTTACTTTCGTCTGCCTGCATCTTTCACCCCAATCAAAAACACAAGTATGTTGTTTTATGGTGGGATGGTTTAAAGTTTAACTACTCTGTGACAATCACACATCGAGACCTTGAGTGAGTCTTTTACCGTTCAACGCCTGCAGACCGTGGCACAGCGTGCAGCCTGCTGCTGAGACCCCGAGAGGAACTGAAGTAAGACAGGTGATTGATTCATATCTGTGAAAGCAAAATGTTCAATTTAAATTGAAGAACGGGGCCGTTTTCAGTTTATTGAAGTTATTTTGTGTGTGAGCTGTGAAAACAGATGACAGCTTTGTATAACTAGTCAGTTTATACTGATGTGCACTAATATTAAATGTGCTGCGCAGCTATTAATTTGTTTTACCGTCACATTCTCTGGTTTTATTCGTGTAGTGAAGCTTTGCAGGCTACAATTTCCAATACGTTTTTTCAGGGAAGTATTAGAAATGGATTCTCTTAGCGTTCTTACTGTGGTTATGTTAATATTACACAACGTTGGAAATCTTGTGCCTCAGACTTATCAAATCTACAAATCTTTTGCTCAAACTGGCATTGCTGACCTTGATCAAATGTGAATACATGATGAGCGTAGCTGTATAATGATGACTAAATTTCTAAATTATTTACCCAAGCCACTGGACATGATATATATTTTTAGTTTTCTCTCTGCTGAGTTAATTTCATCTACAACCTCTTTATGTAGCTGGTACAGGTGCGAGCAGTCATGTTTGGTTTCACATTGCACAAAGTATGGCGTTATAATTGCATATTTAAACATGTATTGTATGTCTGTCAGAGGATGTATAATCTCCTCAGTGTTTTACATGTTCCTGCTGCTTTGTTTTAGCTCAACATTGCAACTTTTAAAATACAAGCCAAGTCTTTTGAGGTATTAAAGAAATTATTTGTTGTGTTTGAGGTACAAAAATGAAAAAGAAGACAATAGTTGTGGCACTGACAATACTGCTGCTGGCAGCAGCTGCTACTTTTGTGGGCGTCTACTTTGGTGTGGGGAGAAGGGAGACAAAAAGTGAGAGGGGGTACTCTAAGGCAGCTGTGGCAGCAGACGCTGGACCATGTTCAGAGATTGGCAGGTAAGATCTGTCCACAAGATACTTCTGAAGGCACTGACACAGATTCACCTAAATGCAGATGGTAGTGTTGCATTTATTTCTAAGAGTCTGAGGATCTTAACTGTAAAACTTCCAGCACCTTCCCTTCCCACTTTATCTCCTTTTTTTTCAAACCTCAGGGACATGCTGATGAGAGGGGGCTCTGCAGTAGATGCTGCTATAGCTGCTTTTTTGTGTGTTGGACTGATGAATGCTCATAGTATGGGCATCGGAGGAGGACTTTTCTTCACCATCTATAATGCAAAGACTGGTACACCTTCCATCTGAAATGCATTTTACTTCAAATACTCTGTTCTTACACTTTCCCACTAACACAACAAACCCATAAAGCTTCCACGTCATTGGGCCCCTAAATGCTTTTCTTGACCTGCACAGGGAGAGTTGAGATCATTGATGCCAGGGAGACGGCACCACGCAACGCAACAGAAAACATGTTTGGGAACAGTACAGATCTATCCCAGAAAGGTAATGTTTAACCAGCACTATCTGACATGGCAACAAACTGAGGGAAGCTGATGACTTTGTGATTGTGATGGAGAAAAGGGTGATCAGTGTCAGAGAGTGTAATTTCTTAAAGATTTGCTTGTGAAATAAATAATTAAACAATCCTTTAGATTAAAAATTATTTAAAAAACCTCTAAAGAACTTCAGAGTACCAAAATAAAATCTTTAAGACTTCCCTGTGCCTGATCCTCATTGTTATTAGGAGGATTGGCGATTGCTGTGCCAGGGGAGATTCGAGGTTACCAGATGGCACACCAGCGACATGGAAAACTGCCTTGGAAAGACTTGTTTATGCCAAGCATTGAACTTGCAGAGAAAGGATTTCCTTTGGGAAAGGCACTTGCCTCAGCTTTGTCTAGTAAAAAGCAAACCATCATGGAGGACCCAACCTTGTGGTGAGAAGAAGGGAACTATACCTATAAAAACTGTGACATTATTTAGACAGTGACTAAAGCCATTGTAAATCATCTTCTCTTCTTTCAGTCAAGTTTTTTGCGGGGAGAAAAGCGACGTCCTAAAAGAAAATGAAACTGTTAAATTTACCAAGCTCGCGGAAACCTATAGGAAAATAGCCGAAGAGGGTCCTGATGCTTTTTACAAGGGAGAATTGGCTCAGAAGCTTGTGGCAGATATCCAGGCAGCAGGTACTATTTTTATTTTACAAAGTATAGTTTTTAAGACTAATAAGCAGACATCTTAATTAAACGGGAAAACAGATGAGTTGGAGTCACATATATAGAAATTCACCAGCACTTAACATCAGGACTGAACTGATTTGAGTCTGGCAGCAAACATTCAGTTCTCTTGTGCTGATAGTCGCAACTATCTTCCCAGTTTTGAGATTTACAGTTAAAGGGTTAGACTTATCAGAACAGCAGTTTCTGCAATTAAGATCATGTTTCTGTACCTAGAAAACCCGATATACAGTGTTTCCATACAAAGTCTTTATATTTAGTCTTTAAATAGCTACATACACCTCTCTGCACATCTAATTTTCAGGATAAAGAGGATTTGTGCAACGCAGCAGTTCTGTCCAAGTGTGCGTTCACAGTGTTTGTCAATCTGTTTAGGCGGCATCATCACAATGGAGGATCTGCAGGATTATACGCCTGTCTTGGATGAGAACCCTTTAAGGGTGAACGTGGGGGAGTACACCATGGTTGTTCCCAATGCCCCCGCTAGCGGCCCTGTGCTCTCGCTGATATTAAACATCTTGAATGGTAAGCCTTGATGCTTTGTCCAAAAAAACATCCCGAGTGGGAGAGAATAAGCTTTTATGTGAGCTGCCTTCACACTACCAGTCAGTCTTACAGAAAAGACTCAACAAGCTGATGTACTGTGCACTAAATCTCTTCAGTCTCACTTCAATAAAAAGCATCTTTCACTTATTGCTACCTAAGAGCAGCTGGAATGACGGGATAAAGCACAGATCTACCTTTGGGATGATTTTCAGTGAACTATCATATAGATATGGGATAACTATGCCAAAAATAAATCAGTGCTCCAGGTTGAAAATGCGGGGCCCATTTGGATTAAAATAGCTTTTATTTTATTGAAGTAGTGAAGATCCAAAGATAATTGTCTGTTTTACAGATGCTATTTCCATGCTCCACTTTGTGCAGCATGGACTGTTGGCAATGTGATATATAAATAAAGTTGACCTTGACCTTGTTGGTTGGGGAATACTATAATATCTAAAATATTTGCCTGGGAGGACACTGTCTTCCTGCTTCAGTAACTTTTTAGGTCAGAGACAGTCTCTTCTTCTAACGATTAGATCCCAAATCTTCCTTTTAAAGATATTAATCTTTCCTTTCCTTTCCTTTCCTTTCCTTTCCTCACTATTTCCGCCCTGCCTCCCACACACTCACATTAATCTCACTATTTCATCTCTAATTGGACAGAGTTGAGTGGTGGAGGCTTCACACACACACACACACACACACACACACACACACACACACACACACACATTTCACTGTCCAAAAACTTCCATCCGGCTGATTTACCGTGACTCCTGCCGCTGTCAGCTGAAACCCATCAGACCCAGACTCTGGCTCTCTCAGCCATCTCCCTGTTTCCTCATGTGGCTGTCAGCTCTGGTCTGATCGCAGCTCCCTTTTAGACTAAATGAAAAGCACAGGAACAGCCTGCATTTTGTGTCTCATTTCCTACCTGAACAACCATTTGTGGGTAAGGCTGCGCTTTAAAAGAAATGGTACTTATTGTTGTATTTCCTGCAGGCTACAACTTCACCTCAGATAGCGTGGCAAGCACTGAGAAAAAGATCCTAACCTACCACCGCATGGTGGAGGCCTATCGTTTCGCTTACGCAAAGAGAACCATGCTCGGAGATCGGAACTTTCTCAACATCACAGATGTAAGGTTATAGATTATACAATTAGTATCTCTGCTAAAAACAAATCTAAATATTAAAGGAGTTTTTGACATCACTTCTATAATGAAACAAAGCAAACAAATTTAAAAAACAATTGAAATTAATCCAAATTTGATGTTAGTCCTCCATGAGCTAGTCATTGTTCGACACTGTTTGAAAAGAGAAAAACAAAATTATCCTGCATATTCTGATTAGGCTAGAATTTTTAAAACCCGAGGACAGAAGGAAACCTTTTTAGGTTTTGCATGTGTATAATTATAATATTTCTCCCCCAAAGCTCATCCAGAATATGACTTCACAATTGTATGCGGATGCCCTCCGTCAAAAGATTACCGATGAAACCACACATCACATGAACTACTACGAGCCAGAGTTTTATCTGCCTGAAAACTACGGGACCTCGCACCTCTCGGTAGTAGCTGAAGATGGAAGTGCTGTGGCTGCCACCAGCACTATCAACACATAGTACGACTTCCTAACTGACACTTCATGAAGTTAATCACTCATGTGTGTACAACTTATGTGATTTCTTACTGGTTATTGAGTTTGTCTTTTGCAGTTTGGGCTCCAAAGTTATGTCAGCATCAACAGGGATCATTCTCAACAATGAGATGGACGACTTCAGCTCGCCTGATATCACAAACAGCTACGGTGTGCCTCCTTCACCAAACAACTTCATCAGGCCAGGTAAGGTTATGGCCACCACGCTCGTACAGACTGAGAACACACATAAGAGGGCCTCAAAACCAGCGACTCTGCAAGACAGATGAGCTTTTTAATGACAGAGTGATTAAAAGTCATGCAGATGTCAGCCTGGTTATTGACGGTTACTGAATAATATCTTGTGTGCATGCACATGAATCTGCTCTGACTCAGACATTCAGAAAGTAATTATTATCAACATATCATTTTAAAAAGGGAAACGGCCAATGTCTTCGATGTGTCCAACAATCCTTTTTGACAAAAGCAACAAAGTGAAGATGGTGGTCGGAGGTTCAGGAGGAACAAAAATCACCACCTCTGTTGCTCAGGTCAAATGCGTACCGATACCTACGTAAAACACTCATTTCTACTCGTTAAATGTAACTAATTAATAACTTGGTTTCTCTTTAATACTTATTATCTAGGTGATTCTAAACACCCTGTTCTTCAACTATGATCTGAAAGAAGCTGTGTTAGATCCAAGGGTCCACAACCAGCTGAGTCCTAACATCACTGTAGTGGAGCCTGGCTTTGACAAAGTGAGTGTCACAAGCAGTAAACAACAACTGGGCGGTGGTGTGGTGTGCAGGGAAACTATGTTTTATTCACAACCCTAAGAAACACTGTATAAACCAAAGTCATGACTAGAACTGGGAACATTGTTTCATCTTTAGCTTCATGGGAAAAAACAGCGTAACAGTAAAGGAGGAAATGGTTGTACTAGGGTTATGCTAATGGTCTAATTTGTGACATTTCACCTCTGTTAACAAATTAAAACTTGTCAGGACCAAACTCAATGTAGGATACAAGACACCAGACCAGGACTCTCTGGGTGTTCATAACATGTGTGTTAATACACGGTGAGAAGTTTCGAGGCTAGGCTGGAGCAGAATGGAACAATTATAAAAGGCTGGAACAAAGCTGATATTTACTGAGTTTATAATCTGGGGATGTGGTGGAGCTGAAAACTGGACTGCAAGTAGAAACAATTACAGATGATTTCATGATTCTAGAGCCATACTTCTGTAATCAGATTACACAGAGAGGAGAAGAAGGGAGAGAGGAAGAGAAAACTGAAAACAAGGACAGTTTTAGGTGATATATTTGTACATCACAAATACAATGCTTGACAAATTTATTTTTTCTGGTGTAAATTTAATACCACAGCTACTGTGAATTAGCAGTATTGGTAGGTACAAAATTAATCTGTTTCTGTAACAGTTAATCCACCAATCATAACGATATTTTAATGCAAAAATATAAGTATTGCTGTTCTGAATTTTCTAATTTAGTTTGACTAAAAAGCAAAAAAAAAAAGTAGCACACTTTTTTTTTATTGGCGCCAGTTTACTATTATGAATTTCCTTACCTGAAAAGAAAAAAAATGTTTCAGTAATTGAGTTTTATGCTTGATTAATTTCAAACTTCCACCCCCTTTAAATTCTGCATCTGTTTTTTTCTAACAGCAGACACTGACTTCCTGGTCCAAAGATCATTCATGTTTTATATTCTTATTCTTACATAGTTAACTTGGTTGCACCATTACATGTGGGGTGATTGCTGACCAGCACTCCAGTTCTCTTATTAAAAGTGCTCTTTACAAGTACTGTGTAATGCAAAAAGTATTAAAATAATCCTCTCTACTCTCGTGCAAAAACAGCAGTGTTAATGGACAAACAATGAACAGACAACCCCTCCCCACATGTTTACATGGCATGCCTAGTCAGTCACGTTTTTGTGCTTAGAGTCTGTCTTCACTCATGCTTTGGTTTCCAGGATGTCCTGGATGGTTTGGCAAGGAAGAACCATGAGACAGAACTCCTCACATCGATGGGAGCCGTGGTGCAGGCAGTACTGTGTCACGATGACAAGGTGTATGCTCAGTCCGATCCTCGCAAGGGGGGGTATGCAGCAGGATACTGAAGTTATAAACACACCTATGATTATGGAGAGATACTGTAGTTTTGTGAACCTTGACACCAGTGGGACAACCTCAAAGATTAGAAAGTTGATAAAGATTTGTCTTGGCACCAGTTGTTTTGTACTGATTGTACAAAACAACTAGTACCAGCTGTACAAGCCTTTAACCAGTACAAGCTATACTTTAACACTGAGTGCCTTGGCTGAGTCTTCTTAACTTCACATCATTCTAATGATCACATCCATCTAGTGAATAAAATCTTTTTAAAAAGATATCTTTTGTTATGTACTTTTAAATTAAAGAAATTTAAATAGTAAAAACAAACAAAACTGTTCAGACACTGAGTGCCTATGATTTAATTTATTTATGAAGCACAGATTAGTAGATGTGTAAAGCAGTTTCCTGCTATTGTTTTGACACATGGCATCTACAAAACTGAGATCTGCTACTGTAATAAGAAACTGTAACACCTCGGGATCAAACATTTTCAAACACTGCACATAACACGTACCAACATCCAGGAATCCCAAGTTCATTGGCTTTTAATGACCTCATAAAAACATTACAGCTGTTGCCGTCCATCTTCACCTTTCATTCAGCTAGAGATACATAATAGGTTAAATACATAACAGTGTTAGATTAGATATATAGAAATAAATAGATTTGCTATGAGTGACTGGATCATGTGTAATAAAACCAATGTTTCAAAACAAAGCTGGGCCTTGTTCTCTGCACCTACCATATATTTATTGAAAAATAAATAAATTGCAACTTTTGAATCCCAGAGCTGTGTAGTTTGGCTATTTCCATCTTGTTCTCTCTTTTAATTTTTTTTGTATCACTACTTGGATCATTAACTATGTTTACAACATTAAACCATGACTCCATCTTGGTGTTTTGACACCAGATCTAATAAGTGAAGGATGGAACTGACAAAGACTGTGCACTCTTATCACTCAACAACGCGTTGCACAACATTCAGCCCAGTAGCTTACCTTGTTATATAGTTTATTAGACTAGAGCTGGGACCATAATTTACCAAATGAACATAATCCTGTATTGAATTTAAGTTGTGAATCTAGCGACTGACACCATCAAGTGTTTTCTGAGGTCATAAATCAAGTGCAGGGCCAGGTCAAGGTGTTATGGGGCTAAACACATCACAAGCTAAACACATCACCTACCCCCCACATGGCACCATTAATTATTAACCATTCTCCTCATTTAATTGTTAATTGTGCATCTAAGACAACCATTACCATGGTGTACTACCGTGCAGGAAAGCAGTAAAATAAACCAGCAGACAAAAGTTACACAAATAAAGTTAAATTTTTTTTATTGACTTTGTACAAAAGGGCAGTTTAACATAAGCCTAAATATTTTTTATTACATAAAAAACAAGGGGAAAAAAACAACCAAGTTTAATACAAACGTATGTAGGAAAACTTAATGTGATGTGTTCAAAATGAGGCAATGCAAGCCACAAACAAAATGAGACAACCTGTCAATACAGGATAGCCCATTAATATGTGACTAGCACTTCCTTAGTTCAGACAGCCATGGCAACGTTTCATTGCTAGCCTAATCAGTAACAAGTCATATTTACAGTTTAACTTGTGTAGCAAGAGTCTAACTCTGACCATCTCAGACTAATTCTAAAATATAATTCATTAGTCAAATCAATGAGATTAACGGGAAACATTCCCAGCAGCTACAATATTTATCATATTAAAGTTGAATCTCCCACTTTCAAAAGGGATAAACAATACAGTCCAAGGCCAGGGATAGCTATGCCACAAATCAGCTACACCCCACAGGCTGATAACCTCAACAGGGATCAGCTGTTGTCCTCCCATCCTGTACATAGTCCAGCAACCACTCCAGCCTCAGCAAGACAATTTTTTGCATGTGAGTGCAATCAAATACACCTGTCATCAATGAACCCAACCAATTACAGCCATTGTGAAACACAAAACCACTCCCAAATTAGTGCCCATTTCCTTGCATCAAATATTGAGGTGCCTCGATGGTGCGAGTACCAGTCATATGAATGTTATTCAGCAACATCAGACGTGACGACCAGATCTGTTTATAAGGCTGTGAACAGACTAGTGAGCTAAAGATAAAGTTTCCAGCCATGATTTCTGTGGTTTCCATACAACGTAAACTAACCTTGTCATGCACTGAGTGAAATGAAGGCCACTTTCATGCCTCTGTTTAACTAACATCACGGTCAGTGAATGTTTATGATACCAGACTGTAATTACTCATGGAAACATCCTTTTTCTGCTACTTTTTTCCTTCCTCTGTTTTTCTCTTTTTCACTTTTCACCCCCAGAGGAATAAATCACTTTTGTCATGATCTACTTGCAGACAGTTACAGTATCTATAAACATGACCCCATCTGTGACACTGGCAGTGGAAATCTTTGCTTTTTTCTTCTTCCCAGAATTTCATCTCTGCTTATTGCAGATGATGTAGTTCAGCAGTTCACATGCACTGGAGCAGTTTGCGGCCAAGAGTTATGCGGCGGGAACGAGAATTAGCACCTCAAAGTCTGACGCCATGGTCCTCAGCCAGGGAAGGGTGGAGTGCTCACTCTGGGTCAGTGATGAGATGCTGCCGCAAGTGAGGGGGGAGGGGAGCAAGTGATTGACAGACGGACTGGGGCGGCATCTGCAGTGATGCACGCACTGTACTGGTCCATCGTGGTAAAAAGAGAGAGGAGCATGTCGATTTACGTCCCTACCTTATAGTCACGAGCTCTGGATAGTGACTGAAAGAACGAGACTGCAGATAGAAGAGGTGAAAATGAGCTTTCTCTGAAGTGTGGCTGACATCTTTCTTAGTGATAGGCTGAAGAGTTTAGTCATTTGGAAGGGGCTCAGAGTAGAGCTGCTGCGCCTCTGTGTCGACAGGGTAAATGATTAGTAATGGCAAATGACACCTTTGTACTCCAACTGACCACTTCACACGACTTGCCGACTCATACAAGCACTTCTTTCTATGCTTTATCTACATAAGTGCTTTCTATCTAACATTCAAACACATTCATACGCTGATGGATCCATTGGAGAGGAACTTGGGGCTAGCATCTTGCCCAAGGACATTCTGAGGTACTGTCTGAGTTGCGGCACCTATCCTTCAGGAGAATACTGCAAGTGCTACCTGTAGTGTATTGGTGAGTGTGGATGTGGATGTGAGTGTGCCATGACGTTAGCGGCAGCACACAACGTGACCAACGTGGTAGGTATACTGATGTCTTTAGGATGACTTATGAGGACACTGAACAAGTTCAAAGGGCCTATACTCCTGTAAGGTAACACATAGCTTCAAACTTCAATACATTTAAAAGACAAATTCATCTCTATCCTCTCTTCTCACAAAAGGACCAAAACTTGCCAACTTGTATAAGTGAAAACTGCTTTTGGAGCCACCCTCAAGAGGCCATTTGAAGTCCTTGCCTGTAACTGTAACTTGCTTGTACTTGTTTCTCTGCATGCAAACATATTGACTAGCACTAGCTTACAGCTTCAGTACAGCGGAGGTGAGGTCTTTAACTTTCATTAAACTACAGTGGGCACACAAAGCAGGCTAATATCCCCATTCTGACAGTTACAGTTACATCAGAAAAAATGTTTGGCCGCTGAAATATTCCCGCTCCTGGAACAAACCTCTGACGCAGTGCTATTTTTCACAATGTTGCTCAAGGCTGGATAAAAGCCAGTGGTTTTATTTTACATAAATAAAGCCAAATGTCTCCTGCAGGGGGAAATAGGGGGAGAACTACCTGCCGAGAGGTATGATTTAATGTCCGTGTGCGCGTAGTTATTAAAGTGAGACTCATTCGCATTGCAAAATCCATGTTGATGCTGGAATTCTTTGATGTAAGCCTCAGAGAGAAGATCGTTTTTCACAAAGATATCTTCCTACACATACAGGCTCTTACTGAACCTGACCTAATTTATGTTTTTTTTTTATTTTTTTTTTACATATTTTAAAAGAAAAGAAGAGCAACAAAAATAGAAGAACTATAAAAAATGTGTAGATGACTGTACTGTGGCGAGTAAGACAGTGCTACGGTTTTTTGTTTCGTTTTTTCCACTCCAGATATTCCACGTACATTTTATGTTTTACCTGAACAGTTGGTCTTGATTGTTATATAATGTTATGATGTAATGACCTCTCGCCTGAGATTTGAGATATGTATTTTTGACTTTTATCGCTCTCTGTTATCTGGTGTTTGGGCACTCTCTCACCTGTGGACCATTACCATCCATTGGCGGTTTTGCCAGTAGTGGCAGGAACAGGTGTAGAGTTACAGTAATTGGGGAGAAAGTGCAATCCCACCATGTGTGCCAATATTACATTTAACATACCACAATTTTATTTGAATTCACAATTATTTTATTTTCATTATCCTGAGCTGCTACCTCCTGTGCTTACAGCTGCTCTGAGAAGAAGCTGCAAAAAATAAAAAATAAATAAAAAATCTAAAAATTTTCCTTCAGGGCCCAATTAAGCAAAGTCTCACTTCCACATATGATTAAATTCAAAGTTATGCAACTCAGACCAATTGACTAACCCTCTAGGCTAGGAAAGAAAAAATCCAAATTCTCTGTGTATATCAGAGTCTACATGCACTTTTAATTTGACTCATTACCTCGAATGGCATTGTGACAAATGCATACAATGACACAGAAACTGACATAATAAAAGCATCAAACTACTGTTAAGATAATTTGCCTCATCAAAGGACTTTGTGAGCGAAAGTGTGCTGAATCATCACAGGATTATTTAACCGCTCCGCTCTGAGCGAGAAAGACTATTTCTGCACCCTTTAAAGTGATGGCTCACTTTAAGTGGTTGTTATTTATACAAAGAGGGCAAGATCGTGGCACTAAAGTCGTGAAGTTGCAACTTATCCAGATTAACTCATTTGTCATACAACAAAAGACAGTGGCGCTTCACACGGAGTAAAATTTTCATGTTCTCATAACTCTCATCTAGAGCCTCAAAGGAGAACGGAGCAGAATCCACTTAAGAAATCATTACTAATTCATAAGTTTCTCTGCTGAAATGTATCTCATTACTGCTTTCTTTGTTCCACTGCTGGTCTGTATAAACGCATAAGGCAAAAGGGAAAAGCACCAAATAGAATTATTCCCATCATACTGTACTAACAACCAGGAATATGTGTTTAAAGAAAGAGTTTGTGGTTTAGAAGGATTTTTATTACAAACAATACAAAATATGTTCATAAAACATAAAAAAAACCAAAATATTCAAGGTGTGTTAAAATATATAAAGTACATTTTTGGGGGAGGCTTTTTTTGGATTAGGTTATTTCACATAGAGTAACACCTTTAAGGTCACAGTAAAAGTTCCTTGTTAAGGAAGCTGCCAGGATGTCACTTTAAAAAGGTTATATGGCTCATCTTGAGTTAATATTTCTTACAAAGAATTACATGTTTCAATAACTGATTTAGCAGACACACTCAGTGCACATTTCTCCAACAGTGCATGAAATCAAATACGAGCACCTTTGTGGCTGGAGTGATCATTTGTGTATCCGTTGGTCAGATATTAACATTTCAGTTTAGCCCCCTACTCTTGCTGAGCACACGTAGGCAACACTAAAAGTAGCTCTGACGAGGCAGGCGGCCCGCGCAGTCGACCAAAAGCAGTTTTCAAACAGTCAGTGTGGTCGGCTGAATTTTGTGACAGAAACTTTGACAAACCAATAAAAGCCATCGTCCTCTTTGACTACTGTCATCGAGGCTAGTGCCATAAAAACGAACAAGTGCGTATGTACTTAAGACGGAGCATTTCAAACATTCACAACACTTTAGAGACCGCTTTCCTAGCTGAATATTGTCCTGAACTTTCTGTGGGTGTGCATGCTCCCGGTACACACAGCGACTGTATTTTCTTATCTCATTGTTTTTATGGGAATTTTCAATGACTGCATAAAAAAAAGAAACATACAGAAACTTGTCAACACCCGCTGAAGGTAGAAAGGTTGACACATGGATGAAAGCAAAGTTCACTGGAAACGGTGTGTCACATTTATTACATCATCTCAGGGCACTTTTCTGCAATAGCTCAATGGTGCTCGACTGGAAACAAACTCCACCTGGGTGTGCCTATTTCCTAATATCTACATAGATGTAGTTGATGAATAGAAATTTAAACACCCTTATATTTATATATTTAGTGCAGATTTCACCTCAACATAAATTGGGTTTCTATAGCCTGTGATTGGATTTGAAGCAATTATAAATTGGAGTTATCCTCTAAGGTGAGTAGTTTCCTGATTGGTCCAGCTGGATGGAGCCACAGCACCTTTTGAGAGTGAATGGGTGGATGACTGGACGTGTAAAGCGCTTTGGGGTCCCTAGGCGGGACTAGTAAAAGCGCTATACAAATACAGGCCATTTACCATTTACCATTTACCATTGTTCACCTTTTATTTGTCAGTGTTTCAGCACATATGGTTACTTTTAATGCTGAAGGGTCAGTTAGTCTAAAGGGCAGAGATAAGTGGAAAGGTCACGCATCCTTGTGGTCAGTATCCAGCTGACATTCCCATCTTCCTGCTGTCAGACACAGCAGCAATGCAGTTGTTCTCCTTTTCCACAGCATTAACCACATTGAGAAAGTATTGCCAGTTCCCGGTTTTGTGTTTAAGCTGTTCCTTTAGGCCTTTTGACACAGACTGAGGGTACACAACACACACACAGACAAAACATTAATACTACTTATCCTTAAGAGATTACAGAAAAATTAAATCTGCCTTTGTAGGATTATGGACCGCTAATCTTCTTCAGAATCCATTATTACAGATGATTTTTTTCTGATAGACAATCTAGTGAATTTGAATATCATTAATGGATAGCGAGGATAAAGGGAAGTACTTCACCTCATCAAAACGAGGTTCAAAATTTACGTTGTTCTTTGAGTCGATGAAGATTATGTGCTCAGTAATGGCATCTTTCAAGCTCATCCCCAGCCACTGGTGATTTATTATAGACTGCAAGGATAAAAGAACTGTGAGTAAACAAACAAAGAAGTATACAAACAAGGAAACAAATAGAGTTTTTAATTATTGAATTACCAAGGCCATTGCCGGCGTAATCAGGCTTCCTCCCGATCCACCAATTATAAGAAGACCTCCAGACTTTGACTCCAGTATCACTGGACTCATTTAGGATGGAGGTCGTTCGCCTACGTAAAAATAAAACATCAGATGGAAATCAGACTCGGTGATGAGATCGTGAAACGTCTGTAATTTAGTTGTCGTATATAACTTCACCTGCCCTCAGTGTGTCTGCTCTCCCGCAAAAGTCAGCCAGCTCATTGTTGAGGATGATGCCTGTACGTGGAGAGTAAATCATTCCTCCAAATCTACAGAACAAAGGGTACTCAGTCAGCTGAGGGGATGATGGATACACCTAACATTAGTATGTTTCTTATAACGCAACTCTTCCTGCTCACACTTGGTTTATGGTGCTTGTGGCAGAGACGGCCAGGCCATCTTCATCCAGGACAGACACGTGTGTCGTCCCAGTGTGATCTGAAGAAGGTGTGACGTTGTAGTAAGAGTTGTCATGGGTCATGTTTGAAGAAATCATCTTCCTGATGCGATCAATGAAGGTGGGATCAATCAAGTGTTCTGCAGACTAAAAGGAGAGCATCATTAAACATTTCTAAGATATCCCAGATATTACTGGTTTGAGATGTAGAAACCCCATCCTAAAAGTTGGGATGCTTTATAAAATGTTTCAAAAGATGTCATAAACCCACATTTTGTTCACAGCAGAACACATGTCAAATGTTTAAAGTGAGAAAATATACTATTATTAAAAAAAGAAAGAGGTAATTTAGAAATTGATGTCAGCAACACGTCTCAAAAACGTTGAGAGAGGGCCATGTTTACCACTTCTTTTATCAACAGTCTGCAAACATCTGGAACTGAGGAGACCAGCTGCTGGGCTCCTCA